TGCGATGCCATGCTGGTACCCCTTCATATGTGTGATGCCATGCCAGCACCCCTTCATATGTGCGATGCCATGCTGGTACCCCTTCATATGTGCGATGTCATGCCGGTACCCCTTCACATGTGCAACAGTGGGCAGTATTCGTAGGCCTCACCCCCGGATGCTGGCTCGCTCTCTGTCACTGTAGTGCAGTGCCACAGACTCTGTGCTAAAGAAAAGATTCTGCTTTGACTTTTACTCTTTGCCGGGGTTGGGGGCCTGCATCTTCTGATGCTCTTCTGGTTGGCAGAGTTGTGAGACAGCAAAAGATGTTACACATCAAGAAATCGTGTGCGTGTGTGTGTGTGTGTGCGCGCACGCGAGAGTGTGTGAGTGAGTGTGTGGGGGTGCATGCATATGTGTGTGTGCGCGCATGAGTTTGGGTGTGTATGTGCATTTATGGCTGTAGGGTGTGTGGGTTTGTGTGTGCATGCGTGTGTGTCATGTGTGTGTGTGCATGCGTGGGTGTGGTGTGTTTATATATGCATGCATGGGGTGTGTATAGAACATGGGTGCATGTGTATGTGGATGTGGGTGTGCACTCGGCTGCTGGGTGTGCGGGTATGTATATGTGCATGCATGGGTGTGGGTGTGTAAGTATGTATATGTGTATGTGTGAGTCTGGGGTGTGTAGGTATGTGTTTGCATGGGTGTGGCATGGCTGTGTAGGCATGTGTTCTGCCTGCTCTCTTTTTTTATCTTTGTTTTTTGTTTGTATTGTATTTGTATTTGGGGAAGCTGTTCTCCACACACATGAGTGGAAGTGACACGGGAGTCCCAAAGAGGGCATCAGACCCCCTAATAACAGATGGCTGTGACCACACGTGACATTGGTGCTGGACAGCAAGCTCAGGTCCTCTCCCAGAACAGCACACGCTCTCACCGGCTCCTCCGGCCCCATCCCAGGAGCGATGCTCCTGAGACAGTCTCACTTCGTAGCTTTACTTGGCTGGACCTCACTGTGAGCACTAGGCTAATGGAGACTCTTAGTCTGCTTCCTGAGTTCTGGACTTTAGGGACCTCCTGGTCCCTCTCCTCACACACCCACCAGGATTCCATCACAAGGCCTGGACCCCACTGAATCCACATCAGCTCTGAACAGAGCTTGGGTCAGGCTCCTCCCTCCCATGTGCATAGTGTCTATCCAAGTCCACTGAGAGTGGGGAGATCATATTCCAATACAGCAATCTCCTGCCTTTGAGTGAAGGTGACCTTGGGTGCTGCTGGCTTTAGTCATCTTGCTTTTGTCTTCCTCCCTGTCCTTTAGGATGCTTGCAAATCTTCCCTCTGCATCTTCAGAGGAATTCAGGGAGTCGTTACACCCAGCTACTGACTTATTCTTGCCATCTGTTTTCATTGCAATGAAATGTTAAATACTCCATCATTTAGGTAGAAGAAAACCAGACCAAACTAAACATTCCTATAATTTCATCTACCCTTTAAAAAGGGAAAAAAATTGAGTTGAAGTAGTGTCCAGCTTCTGAATGTGGAGGCTCCTGAAGCTCAGCCTGATGACA